CACAGGCCACATGACAGTCACATCCCTCAGCCCTCACTACTCTTTTTTTAAAAATGTTTTATTGTGAATTATGTGATAGTTTACATGGGAGAACATTAGTTTTACATTCATCCTATCCTATATAGTTTCATTGCCATGATTACAGTCCCCTCCATGCATCATCAACCAACCAAAACCCTACAAGCCTGCCACCCCCCCAGATCCCCAACCCCCCCACCCCGGTCGTCAGCACACAGCCCCTCTCTTTCTCTAGGTCTAAAGTCCTCAGCTGTTCCATCTCTCCACGTCATCATCTCTGCCTCCATCTCAGGCATCACTGCTTCTCTGGGTAGGGTTCCGCTCTCTGCTCTTCTCCCTTGATGGTCCCAGGGACCTCTGCTCCTAGACTGCAAAATGAATCACTCCCCTCCTTGCTACAAAATGTCTACCTTTACATTTCCAACCCTCACAATCATTTCTGATAACAATGATTCACTATTGTATCACAAGAGACCTATCTGCATTTCCTTTCATCAGCTCCACCTAGACAGATTGTATACTACTCAGGGGAAATTCTACCTTCCTCCATGCCCTCTGGATCTAGGTTCCCTCTTGAAAGCTTGTAAGTCAGTCACTTCTTGCCTTTGTAGCCCCCTCCCCCATTTTGGGCAGCCAGTGTCCAAGTTGTCCATCCCTGTCTACTCTGTGTATGGAGGGGGTGGGAATGATCCGTACTATAAAGCCTTGTTCACTCTTTTGAGCTACTGCATCCATAGGTGTAGGTCAAATTCATCAAATTGTATGAGATTACTCTTTTTTTCCTCTTCTTTCTTCTTCTAGTTGAGCTCTGAATCATCCAGTCATTGAAGCCAGGTGAAGTGGGTATTATCTGCAAGTGTGGGTGTTCTTATGCATGTGTCCTCTCTTCTTATCAGCTGGATGCTTCACTCTCTACTCTGTTTCACTCTTCACTCTCCACTCCTCTGTGGCTATGTCACTGACTCTGGGCCCAAGAGCCCCCAGGTCTTGCCACACTGCTGGCCTACCAGGTCTCCACCAGGTTTCACAGGCGTCTATTGAGCGTAGTAGGGCTTAGCTCACAGCTTCATTGCTGTTTTTCTTTCACTTCCCCTTATCGGTGACAAACGTGGTCACCAGTCAGAGCATGTATAGCCCTCACTACTCTTGGGGAACTCTGTGCGCTCCATCATTCTGAAGTTGGACATGCATTGTCAGGGCTGTGGAATTCATAAGTAAACCAAATTGATGCTACTTTTCTGTTTTCCCCTGCTGATTCAATGTCTGCATTTAAAACCATCTGTCCTTTTCTTAGTTCTTTATTCCTGCACTTTGCTCATTTCTAGCCAGACTGCTAATAAACTATGCATTGATGACTGTCTAAAACTGGAACCTGGTTATTTTTCAATTTGTCTTTCCTTCATTTTCCATTGAGCTAGTTGGACCATTTATGTATTAAAGATGTTTGGATTTATATATAATGTACATTCATTAAACCCTATGTATAAAAACCATTTTTAAAAATCACTTACCTCCCACTCAACTCTATTTTTCCCATTATTTTCATCTTAGTCTTTCCAAGTGACAAACAAATATTATCCATCACGGTAAGCAGTTATGTACTGAGCTCTTTTTATGTACAGTCATGGACCAAGTACTTGATGTACACGACCTTGCTCAACCCTTGAATGCTTCTGTTTCTCTCTATTGACTCTATTTGGAGTTTTCTGGACTCTATTTGTAGTCCTGGTGTGACCTGTAGGATAAGAACTGGATTGCTAACCTCAAGGCTTGTGGTTCAAACCCACCAGCTGCTCCTTGGAAACACTACACAGGGTCACTATGGGTTAGAACCAGCTCGACAGCTCTTAGCAACAACAACAGACTCTATTTACATAAGTGTGATATATTCTAATTTTTTTAAAAAATTGACTTCTATTTTAAACTTATCTGATTGCAATATATATGTGTGTATGTATATATATATATATATATATATATATAATTTGTAGAGGTGGACAATACTCAATATGGAAGAGGGAAAAGAGAACTTGGAACTCAGTCATTGTTGGTAGAAATGTAAATTGGCCCAACGAGAGTATCTTTCAACTTACTAAAGTAAACAATGTAAAGATACCCCTTTTGGTCTCCATTAGTAGGATACTGGCTAGATAAATTATGTGTCCATTGATTGGCATACTCTGCTGTGTAAAGGTTGGTATAGTTGAGACAGATGCAAACATACCAACGATCATGAAGAAGCACAGGACTGGCAGCAGTTAGTTCTGTTACGTGTAAGGTTGTCATGAGTCAGAGTTAACTCAATGACAACAACAACATCCCATATGTACAGGTTCAATAACATGGAAAATGTTCCAACAACATCCCATATGTACAGGTTCAATAACATGGAAAATGTTCCAGCAACAACATCCCATATGTACAGGTTCAATAACATGGAAAATGTTCTAAAAAACAGTGAAGAGCTGGGAAAGTAGCTTAAAAAGAAGCTTATGTAGTATGGTACCATTTTTATACACTTAGACTGCAAACAGCAAGTACAGTGGTTCAAACCCACCAGCTGCTCCTTGAAACCCCTAAACAGGGTCGGTATGAGTCAGAACTTACTTGATGGCACATCACAACAACATATATATACTCGAATATATGTGTACTTTGTCTCTCATACTTTGGGCATATTATCAGGAGGGACCAGTCCCTGGAGAAGGACGTCATGCTAGGTAAAGTGGAGGATCATTGAAAAAGAGGAAGACCCCCAATGAGATGGATTGACACAGTGGCAGCAGCAGTGGACTCAAGAGTAACAGCAATCGTGAGGATGGCCCAGGACTGGGCAGTGTTTCCTTCTGTTGTGCATAAGGTCACTATGAGTGAGAAGCAACTCGGCAGCACCTAACAACAACACACATATTTAGGGAGTGTGATAACTGTGTATGGTAAGCACTGGTCTGCACACCACAAGGTCCTTGGCTCGAGCTCTCCAGCCACTCTGCAGGAGAAAGATGAGGCGTCCTGCTCCTGTGAAGATTTAAAGCCTTGGAAATTCTTACAAGGTCACTATGAGTCAGAACCGACTGAATAGAATTTAACAACAACATACATTTATGCAGAGAGATAACTGGAAAGAGTTTTAGTGGCTGTCTCTGGAAGTGAAATTTTGCATAAAGTCCACCTGTTTCTTTATGCTTTATAAAAAAATTTTTTGCATGTTTGTCTATCCACTAAGATTGAGTTTTCTGTAATAATTGTTGTTATTGTTAAGTGCCATTGAGTAGGTTCCGACCCATAGTGATCCTGTATAGAGCTTCCAAGGAGTGGCTGGTGAGCTTGAACCAGTAACCTGTGGTTCAAACCGACTTTATTGTCCAGCGCATTAACCCACAGCGTCATACCAGGACTCCCTCTATAATATCGAAAATTATTCACTTCCAAAGTCCTAGTGCGCCCCACACTAGACATACAGTGCATGTTAACTGAATGCAATATTCTGAAACTCGCTTTACATCCTAATTCCCTTTGGTAACTGTTGTATTTTCATGAACTTACTGAAACTATCTGTGGAACATGTTTTCAATTTGTTTTGTTATTGTTACATGCCCTTGAATCAGTTTCACTTCATCACAACTCTGTGAACAGCAGAGTGAAACACTGTTCAGTGCTGTACCATCTTCACAATTGTTGTCGTGTTTGAGCCCATTGTTGCAGCCACAGTGTCAATCTATCTTTATTGAGGTCATATTTGCTGACCCTCTACTTTACCAAGCATGGTGTTTTCTCCAGGGACTGAGTCCTTCTGATCACTTGTCCAAAGTACGTGAGATGAAGTTTCACCATTCTCACTTCTAAGGAGCATTCTGACTGTACTTTTACCAAGAGGGATTTATTCATTCTTCTGGTAGTCCATGGCATTGTCAATATTCGTTGCCAACACCATAATTAACAATCGGTGATATGCAGATGATACAGCCTTGCTTGCTGAAAGTGAAGAGGACTTAAAACACTGATGAAGATCAAAGACCACAGCCTTGGGTATGGGTTACGTTTCAATGTAAAAAAAAAAATTCTTTTTCACCACTGGACCAATAAGCAACATCCATATAAATGAAGTTGTCAAAGACTTCATTTTGCTCAGATATACCATCAACACTCATGGAAGCAGCAGTCAAGAAACCAAATGATGTATTGCATTAGGCAAATCTGCTGCACAAGCCCTCTTTAAAGTATTGAAGAGCAAAATGTCAGTTTGAGGACTACAATTAGCACTTGACCCGAGCCATGGTATTTTCAATATGCATATGCATGTAAAAGTTGGACAGTGAATAAGGAAGACCATAGAAGAATTTATGGATTTGAGTTATGGTGTTGGAGGAGAATACTGAAAGTATTATGGACTTTCCAAAGAAGAAACCAATCTGTGTTGGAAGAACAGCTAGAATGCTCCTTGGAAGTCAGAATGGCCAGACTTCGTCTCTTATACTTTGGACACGTTCTCAGGAGGGACCAGTCCCTGGAGAAGGATATCATGTTTGGTAAAGTAGAGGGTAGGAGAAAAGGGGAAAGACCCACAACGAGATGGATTAGCACAGTGGCAGCAGCAATGGGTCCAGGATTAGCAATGATTGTGAGGTTGGCCCAGGACCGGGCAGTGTTTCATTCTGTTGTGCGTAGGGTCCCAATGAGTTGGTGCTGACTAGATGGCACCTAACAACAACAACAAGAAGAGTTCTCTTCCATCTTCCTTAACCATTGTCCAGCCTTCACATGCATATGAGGTGACTAAGTTAACAAACAGTATAAACTTATATCTACTGGGTAAAAGAGTGCTTTCTTTTATTTGTTGTAAAGGTGTTTCCTGGAATTGTAACTTAATAACAGTTAAAAGCAAGGACTCCCCCTCATCATATTGTTGGGGTTTTTTTTTTTTTTTTTGTGTGTGTGTGTGTGTGTGTGTGTGTTTTAAAATATTTCCTTGTCTTTTTTAGGAAGGTGACGTCTGGCCCAACTGTTCAGCTGAAATCACTGTGTATTTCAACCCTGTGGAAGCCAGGCTCTACCAGCATACTGTTTATTGCAACATTTCAGGTAAGACACTTCCTTCATGTAGTAAACTCAGCACATATAGTGCAGTGCCTGTGTGTATGTGTGTGTGTGTGTCTTTGGAATTATACAGGACATTGCTGGGCAAATCTGTGCACCTCTCATTTCTCTCTAGAACAGAGCAAACTCTACAGTGCTTTACAATAGTTTTTATGCAAAGGGCGAAATGCACACAAATGATCAATAACTGCAAACATCTTTAATACGTAAATCAGCTCAATCATTCGGGGGTGGGCGGAGAGGTGGGTAAAGCATGGATCTTTGTTTCTGATTCTTACTACAGTAATAATAATGCTGGAGACAAATTCTCACCATGTTAAATGTTTCCTTTTATATTTGGCCTCTTAATTTTTGTTTCCTTTTAAACATTTCATCAACATTAAGCATGCCAGGTAAGATGGGGAGGCCGCCTGGGAGTGGCCAGAAGCTGTGAAGAGGGTGAGCAAGTAGTGTGGTCAGCCAATACTGTCAGAATATTGACTACATACAGAGGAAGTGAACAAATATATGGAAGTGTTGAGGATAAGGAGAGCTAGAAATTTTGTTTTGTTCCTCTTAGAGGAGGAAGCTGCAATTAAGCAAAGGAGGAAGGGAAAAAATGAACCATTTGATATCTGAATGGAATTGGAATTATCATTGTAAACTCATGGTTTTTGATGAAATGTTGTTGTTAAGGGCCGTGGAGTGGTTCTGACTCATAGCAACCCTGTGTAGGGTTTCCAAAGAGCGGCTGGTGAGTTTGAACCACCGACCTTGCAATTCAAGCTGACCTGAGGTCAAGTGCTTATCCTATGTTGTTGTTATTGTTAAGTGCTGTCAAGTCAATTCTGACCCATAGTGACCCTGTACCGGGTTTCCAAGGAGCAGCTGATGAGCTTGAACCGCCGACCATGCAGTTCAAATGGCTTTGCAGTCTGTCGCATTAACCCAAGCACCACACCAGGACTCCTGCTTATCCCATGGTGTCACATAAATATTCAAGTAGTGTGTGACTATATGTGTGTGGATACATGTGTAAATGTCCTAGCTACATCCAACAAGAGATTCTGAAAGAAATAAAACCTAATGGTAATGAGCACATGTATCACTCAAAGCTTGGTTTCTTAACAGCATTCTTTACTGAAATGAACCTTGGAGGACTAGCTGATTCCAGAATTGAGGTGAGAAAGACCAAGATAAGCCTGGAACATCCTCTTGTGCTCAAAAGTAAGGATGTGTTAAAAAAAGAAAAAAAGACAGGAACATGTCAAAATGACACATAAGCTAGCAAAGGGACACCTTTGGAATCCATGAGTTCACCTAGCATAAATTTGCCCTTTGGCAATTGTAGTGAAACTTCAGATTTGCACTCTTTTAGAAATGGAAACAAAAACTCTTTAATGTAAGTTACATTCTGAAGTTTGAGGAGACATTCTATCAAGAATAATCAAGTCAATAGAATGTCAAAGCTGCAGCCTGC